CCCCCTCCCGCCCCGTCAATTCCCCGCCCTGCTGCCGCCCGCCCCCGTCCCCTGCGTCGTGACCACCGTGAACTTCCCACCTTTCTGAAATTCTCGTCCTCTGGGTGGTCCAGGGCATTGCCAAAAATCTTCTCCATCGTCGCCACGCACGACTCCAGCACCGCAGGCGCTGCGGGTGCCGCGGGCGCGTTGCCAACGCGCCGTATGGGTTTCAGGCGAGGTTTGAGGTCAGGCGTGGTTTGAGGTGGGCCGACACGCGGGGCAGCAAGCTGCTTGGGTGGGTGGGGGACACCCCTATAGCAATGGCATGGGGCGCCGTGCATGCGCGCGGGTGCGTTGGCGCAATCCTTGGACGCCCCCCGGGCGGCAGTTGCCCCCGGCGGCGGTTGCGTGGCGCAGTAGTCCCGAGATGGGCCGTCTACCATCGGCATGCTGCACACGTGCGGCAGGACGGGGGCCGTGGGCTGGGGACGTCCATATGGTTGGGTCTCCTCACCGTAATGATGGTAATCTAGGACATCGGATTCTAGCGCGGCGCTGAACTTGCGCCGCGCGTCGCGCACCACCGGCTCTGTGTGCCAGTCGGTCGAATCCATCTGGTGGGCGGCCGGCGCTCCTCGCTGCTTCCGCTGCGGCGCGGCCTATGGGCGATGGTGTGGCCCCCCAGCGGTGCGAGGTGGCGGTGTGTCACCGAGGTCACCCGCGCTGGGGCGCTACGTCGCAGCCACTTTGATGAATCACGCTGGAATGGGTGTGGAAAAGGTTTACGACTTCGAAACAAACGGCGAGATCAGCTCGTGGTACCGGTATGAAGCCTTGAAAAGCCTTCTAGTGTTGCCGTTCAGTGTATAGTCGTACTTTGTGATAGTAACAGTCGTTCAACAGAAGTTTCGCGCGCATCCTGATCAACACTCGCACCAAGTCGCCTTGGCCACGGCTCGGGGCAGCCGCTCACAACGTTTCTTGCTATTGAAGCATTCGGCATATCAAAAGATTGTCCAGGACATCAAACAGGGGACCGGGGCGCCACAGCGCTGCGTCGCCGCGGCGCAACGCGCCAAACGTCTAGTGTTCGATGCAGCAGCCCCAGCAACCCGCGGCGCCGCAGCAGGCCCAGCAGCAGCAGCAGCCCCAGGCGCCCCCGCAGCAGCAGCCGCAGCAGGCGCAGCAGGCGGTGAAAATGTCTGCGATGGAGCAGCTGAACCAGTACAAACTGCAGCTGGAGACCGACCTCGTCCGCGTGGAGGCGCAGGTGCGCTCGCGCTCGCCTGCCAACACCCCCAGGGGGCACCGGCAGCGATGCCGAGCCACAGCCACGTCCCTCTTGCTCGCGCCCCAGGGCCCCCTGTTTTGTTGTGACACGGGCGGCCTGACGTTCCAACCCCATGAGCCTGGATGGCTCCAGAAGCGCGAGACTGCGGGACGCCGCAACAATCCTGCATGAGCCTGCGTCGCCCCTGCACTGCAAACTGTGCCCCGCCCCCCGGCCCCCCCCTGCCTTTGCCCACCAGATTGCGGACATGGAGCTCAAATTCTTCCAAGCCGACCACTCTGCGGTCGCCTCGGTGGTCAAGGTGCGGGGGCGTGAGGGGCCATGGGGGCGTGCGGGGCGCGACGGGCGTGTGGGCGAGGGGCGGGCGCGAAACCAGGCGCAGAGGAGTGGGTCGGGCCCTATTCCCAGGCGTCGGCTGCCCGGTAGCCGCTGCACAGGAAGGATTCCGTAGGGCTCATGCGCCCCCCCTCCCTCGCTCGGCGCGCGGCCGGCAAGACCCGCGCCGTGCCACGGCCGCAGCAGCAGCAGCCGCACCTGCACGCGCACGCGCACGCGCCCGGCCTCGGGGCCCGGCCCGCGCTGCCGCTGGAAAACGCGCACCAGGACACCCGCGCCGCCGCCGGTCGCGCCACCCATGGTGCCTGCCCCATCCCCTGGTGCACCAGCTTTCGGCAACCGAATCGCTGCGCCGCGTCCGCGCTTGCGCAGGGCTTTGAGGCGCACCTCTCTTCGAAGGAGGCGCTGCGCAAGCGCGCCCTTCGCAGCTGGAAGCCCGAGGACCGGTGGTTCAGCCTATCAAGCACCAGCTCCCCCGTGGTGCGCGCATGGCACGCGCATGGCGCGTGGTCGCTGCCGCGGATTCCATGGCCGCAGCCGCCCCGCGGGTTGCAGGGAGCGAGGGGCGGCGGGCTGGCGCGCGGATCCCTTGTTTCACGGGCGGGCGGCTGGGTTCGACGCCGTCGCGGCTGAAGGGCGAGCTGCCCGGGGCAGGCCTGCGTTTTGCCTCTCAACGGTGGCCGACGCGCGTGCGGAGGCATATGGGCATCCCGTGGGTGCAGTGCTTGGGCGCCTCCTAAGAAATGTCGGCCGCCTCCCACTGACCCTGCCTGCGCCAACGCGACCCGCACCTCCCCACGCCCCCCCCAAACCTCCGATTTCTCGTGACCGCAGGCGCAGGAGTTGGCGGAGCAGGAAGCGGCAGAGCCGGCGCTGCAGGGCGGCTTTGGCAAGAAGGTGAGGGGGGGGGGCGGCTGCTTCGAAGCCAGGCAGCCCGCCACTGGGTCGGTCCCCCGCAGCCCCTGCGCGGCAGCCCACGGGGCGAGCGAGATTTTGGACATTGCGCACTGGTGCATTTCACACGTGCGTGTGTCGTCGACGGCCTCTGCTGGCGCCGGCCCGCGCCCGCGGCCGTGAGGGAGCCGACACATGCGCTTCCTAACTGCGCCCCTCTCCCTGACTGCGCCGCCCGCAGGGGTACCCACCCGCCAAGGGCGCCTACCCCCAGAAGGGCAAGCGGTGACCTTGCGGCGCCTTGAGAGGCGCGGCGCGCACAGCACGCACTGACTCGCGCCGGGCCGCGCCGGGCCGGGCCGCTGCGGCGGCTGAGGTGCGGCAAAGGCGCCTGGAGAGGCGCGGCAGGGTGCTGATGCCGTGTCTCGGCGCACCTCACTACCCCCCGCTTTCCTCCCTGTTCTGTGTGCAGCGTGTAGCTTGTACAATAAAAGAGCGTGTGTCGCTTTGCGTTTATACGAGGATCTGAGAGGCTTGTAATCAGACGGCGCAGGCTGATTGGGCTCTTCACACCAACAGTTGCAGCCCGCACAGCTGGCCGCCGGAAGCCAAACCTGCATCCACGAGGCTCTCCAGCCAGCGCATACCCACGCTAGCCAAGCAATGTGAAGATTACAATAACAACGATGGATCATGATCAACGGAAAGCAGACACAAGTCGAGGGGCGCCTGGGCCCTGTGGGGCGCCGGGCCGCGTTTCAGGGTGCCCTGAGGCGCACCGTCCTGGCGGAGCTGGGGCGATCAAAAAGCACAGCCCCATGTCCTGCCTGGCAGCGCTGCAGACAGTAATTAGGCAGTGAGGACTGAAGAGTCAAACCCTGGTCAACAACCTCGCTTGGAACCTTGGATCTGTCAAGCCGTCGACAAGCGGGCGCAGAGGGGGGCAGGAAGCAGAACGGGCACGCCCAATGCACGGAAGAGCTCCCACAAACGCGGTCAACGGTCGGTCAACGGCCCGCCTCCAACAGGCGACCCTGAACAGGCGCCCCCGCTTCAACCGCCGGCCGCTTGGCTGAGGGCGCCGCGTCGAAGCTCAGGCCCTCGGCGGGGCGCTTCTCGCCCTGCCGCTGCGGGTCTTCGTCGCCGTCGCAGCACTCGCCCGCCCCCTCCGAACCGCGGCGCGCCGCCGCGACGCCCCCGCGCGCGCCAGCACCCGGCCCCGCGCTCGCG